TGGCCCAAGACAGTGTCCCATGCCAGTCTCTATCAAGGATCTGCCCTGGGAAGGCACAGGTTCAGTGGTGAAAGCTAGAAAGCCTGTGCCAGGGGGATGCAGGATCTGTGCTAGCAGGCTGAGTGATTGGAACTGAAGCCAGGAAGTGATGCTCAAGGCAGAGACCAGAGCTCCCCCACGAAGAACCACGGCCATCCTCAGTGACAGCAAGACCCAAGTTCTCTGAAAAGAAGATTCACTAAATTTGTGTTAGAAAAGCCGGCATGACAAGCTTCTGCAGGAGAATCAACCACTACCCATCTTCCCTTCCTGTTTCTCTTATATGCTGTTGGCAATAGTCCTCAGGTGTGCCTTTCATACCTAGATCCATGTTGATTCTTTTCAAGTGGGTGTTACAAGGTGATAGTTAGAAAATTCATCATGATCTAGTCATGATCAGCTTCATAACCACATACATATCCATAGTCATAGTCTCCAGTGGCAAGATTGTAAAAAATGTCTTCATGTATTCAGATCTACATTCATATATCAATTACATGCACACAATTCTTACTGCACTCAACTCCACATGAAAAACAAATATTGAATGTGTACTTAAAACCACAATATTTGAGTAAATAGCTGTATGATACAGAGGTATCTAAAAATAATATTAAAATCATGTGAGGAGTAGTATTACAATTACAGTCTACTCACCTGTAACTATAACATCAGAGCAGGGCAGCCCCAAGTGATGCATCAGGGTATCTCCTGCATTTCAAATATACTCTTGGAAAAACCTCAGGTCTTATTCCAGTGTCCTCTTCTTGTTTAACACTCTTGTGCTGCTCTGCGTCAGCCTTTCAATCTACAACTGCACGAGCACCTAGCTTCTGGCCAAATGTTTTACAATACACTGCTTTTTTTTTTCTCTTAATTTTCTCTTTCAAGATCAGAATATACTTATTGGGGGAATGAAAGATTCTCAGAGAGGGACAGAAGGAGACCTGAGTGGGCTGTCAATGAACTGGTCCTTTGCAAGAATTTTTAGACAGCAAAAGCATGAGGTGAGACTGGTCTAAGGTGAAAAATGGAAACTCGGAAGATGGGCATGATATGGGACAAAAGTGTGGTGAACCAATAAGATTTTCAAGGATAATTGCTCAAATAAAATTGATGAAATCAGGATCAAATGGGTTCTCCAGTCACATAGCACATGGACATCAATGCAGAAGAAGGGCTTTTCTGGTAGGGGGTTGTTTAAGGGGTACTTTCTGTCTTTTTCCAGTTGAGTCCTACCTCTTAGACGTTACAATCCCTGATATTTGTCCTTAGTGAGGTTTGTAGGTGTATTTGTTTAATCTTTTGTCTTGAGATCTAAACACAATGGAGGTGCATTTCTGTCCCATGGTTGTAAGGTATGTCCTGTTGCATACTGAAACCTTGGAGGGCCCAGTCCTGTCTGACTCTAGATGTTTCTAACTCAGATCCCTGTAACATTCCCCCCATGAAGAAGTAACCTGAACTGCCATGAAGGAATTCGGCAATAACTGCTCTGTTTTCTTCAAGATCAAATGTGTCATAGATGTTCATTGGCAGTCAGAGACACTCTTTACAGGTTCTATCTAAAGACATATACAGACACCAGGTACTTACATGTTGGACTGGTATGTAGTAGTAAGTATGGAGAAGACATAGCCATGGAAACAACAAACCATGCATAGAACAAGTAATAACATCAAATGAACAATTATGAATATATCTAAGAGCTGTGGGTCGTGGTGCATTCCTATAATCCCAACTGGAGGGTGGCTGAGGCAGGAGAATTCTTGCCAATTCTAGGTCAACCAAAGATGAATAGTAACACCCTCTTTCAAAAAAAAAAAACAACAGATTGATCTGTTATTTAATATTTTGATCATTAATAGAGATATTGAGTGAAGGATCAGGGATGTTCATACAACATTTAGATTTCCTAATTGCATAAGTACCCCTTACAGAGCTGTTGGAATGTCTAGTGCAATGTGATTTGAGGATAGCAAATCACATCAATAAGTATCATGCTTTATACATGAATATTTTGAACTTAAATTTATTCATTTTTAATCTTAAGATTTATAAATTCACAGAATATTTGTTAATAAAATTATTTTAATTTCAATTTTGTTTACTAGCAAACAAGCTCAGGACCATGTACATGCAAGGCAGGCACTAGGACATTAAGCAATACCCCAGGCTTACACTTAATTTTGATCCTAGATCCAGATAATAACTTTGAGCACAGACGAGCAGTCATCTTAACCCCAGGCTGTTTTGTCATTGTTCTGCCCCACAGGCAATGTCTCTGAATGTGAGCAAACTGCAGATCACATTCCAGCCAAAGCACAACAAACTCCACCTTGGACCCAGCAACCAGTGTGGTGCTCCTCCATAGCAGCCTCCTGAGCCTCCTCTTTACTGACATCCTTTTGCAATGGTGCTCTGAGTTTCCAGTCTCTGTTGATATTACTCACATAGTTCACAGCACGTGGGGGCTGCCCCTTCCACTGCTCCTTCAAAATTTTTTAAAATTAATTCCCAAGTCTCTTTAGCCACATACCCAGGCAGCACCACAGCAAGGCAAAGGAGCATTAAGACATCTGACTCTGGTACAAATTTTGTAGTAAGGGGATTCAGCACAACACATTGAAAGTCATGCATGAGATCCTCCTGTCAAAAAAAGGAAAAACAAATAAACAAATAAAACAACAGAAGTAAACAAATAAACAGAAAACATCAACCAAAAACCTGATCTCCTTGGACAGTCTGTGTCCACTATTAAACACTATTAATACCTGAAACACTATTAATAGCATTATTTGACACTATTTTCCCAAAGGGACATGGAGAATAGCAGAGTGAGCTGGGCCTGGGGTGAGGCTGTGCATGTGCCAGGCTGGAGAGACCCTTATTCAGGTTCATTGATGTTTAACCTACTTTTCAGCTTTCCAGTGTAGGTTGATTTTAGAGGCATGTTCTCCTAAGGATTAGAGTCTCACCTCAGGAAAGCTTTTGGCATTGATTATTTCTCTCCTTGAGATGAGAAGTATTCAGTTTCTGAGCCATGCAAGGAATCACTCCTCTGTCCATTTTCTACTGCACACCTCTAAGAAACAACACAGTTTTTCACCACAGTGTTTTGTGCGTGGCAGTGCTCTTTTCTCTGGTGACTGTCACCACCCAAGACCAAGTTTCCAGACTGATGGTTTCCTCCTCCTTATACCTCTTTCAGAACCCGCCCTTCAGATATCTCTGGGTCATATTATAAAATGTGTGTCTATGCATAATCCTAAAGGCAAAGGTAGAGGCGGGCTGAGGGTAGGGCAGGTCCACCCAGGGACAGCCTTGTCCTCCTTCTGGGTATTTTTGGTTGGAGGATTTCAGAGAGAGGCCAACCCCAGTGGGAAGTGCTGGAGGCCTCCTTCCCTCACTTGTCCCTGCACCACCACCCCTAGAGAAAGTTGAACTCAGGGAAGACACCACCCTGGAAGCAAATGCTCCAAACCCTTTACCTTTTATTTTGTTTTGTTTTTACCTGAGACTGGGTCTGTATGTGGAGTTCAGGCTGATCTTGAACAAACTAAGTAGCCCAAAATGACCTCAAAGTCTAAGAATCTTCCTGCCTTAAGTCTCCCAAGTCCATTGACATTTTTAATTAATCTGTGCTCTTTCCTTGTTTGTCTTCATCTGCCAATTTTCTATGATTTTTCAGATTTGCTGACTTTGATTCTTGGATTCTGAATAGTAATCCCTATGGATGAGTAGATGATTTGCAGGTGGTTTTTCTCTCATTTTCACAGCTGGCTTTACATTCAGTTGTTTCCTGTGCAGTGCAAAATCTTCGCAGTGCAGAATCTTTTTAGTTGGATGCAGTGCAGTGAGCTTTCTTTGCTTTAGCTGTGCAAGCTTCTGGTGTCAAATATGAAAAGTGGTTTTAAACCCAGTGGAAGGGACCATTCACATTGGTTTTTTCCTGGTGTGTTATGGTTTGGTGTGTTCTGTTTGAGGTTTCTCTTCTCTTTGGTTGCATTTTGTGGATGATATAAGATAAAAATCCCACTGGTTTTTAGTTTTAGTGTGCACTTACCTAGTGTAACCAGTGCCAGTTATTGAACAGATTAAGATTCTCCCTTTGTGTATAATTTGGGCCTTTCCCAAGAATTAGTTGGTCCTGAGAGCAGGGTTTCTTCTGGGATTTCTATTATATTCCATTTGTTGGGATATATCTTTATGGCAGCAAGATACTGTTTTCATGGTGGTAATACAATTCAAATTCAAGAGTGTAAGACCTCCATCTTTAATCTTGATGAAGATTCCTCTAGATATTTCAGGTCTTCAGTGCTTCCACTTAAATTTTACAACTTTCCTGTTTCCATGTGGAAAATGCTAATGGATGGTAAGAAATTGCCCTGAACCTGTGCAAGGTCTAGGTTTGTATGGATAGTTTGACCACAGTGATTCTTCTGATTGTGAATATCTCTGCTATTTATTAATTTGAATTCTAGTCTTTTTAATGTGCAGATCTTTTTCATTGCTCATTAAATTTATTGATAAGAATATTTTTCTTTCCATGCTTACCAATTGGGCTTCTTTTTAATGCTTCTTGGATGGAACATAATCAGTATTTAGAAATGTAACTAGTTTCTCTATGTTGCTTTTGTGTCCTGAAAGTTTAATAACATTGCCTACCAGTTATATTTCTCAGTATAGTACTAGGGTTTTCTATGTATAAGAACATGATATCCGCAAGCAGAAAAATTTGTACTTACTTATTTCTGCTATAAAGTTCTCCTACTTTTTTTTCTAGTCTATTTTTTCTGATTAGGACTTGTATCTCTATATGGCAATAGAAGTGGCAGATTGGCCATGCTCATGAGACTTACAGAAGATCCTTGACAGGCACAGCTTATGGAGGACAGACTTAGTTTTGCCACCACTTCAGAGAACTGAGTTACAGATGCCTGGCCCTGAGCAAATCCAATATGGCTCTGGACATTGGAGGAGAAAACTGCTTGATGCACGGCATTCAGGAACAGAGAGTGGGCGACAGAAGGTGCAGAGGCACAGAGGCAGGGACTTTCCACACCAAAAGCCCAAGAGCCATTGTTCCTAATCAGGCTGCAGCTTCTAGGCACATTCCATTGAAATTGAAGGACAATATCCTTAAGGGTGAACGTTTGTTAAAATTGATTTTTCCTGAAGTGAGGAGTTGTGTCCATTTCAATTTTCCTGAAACCTTGTGAGAAAGTGGGCAATTAAAAATGATGTCAAGAATTCACCATCTTACGATCTTTCTGCTCCTGTATTACCTCATAGCATATGAATGGTGACCTTCCAAACTTATATCTTTATTGGGAAATGGAAAACATGCATCTCAGTGCCCCAAAGGAGAAAGAAAAGAGTTGAAGTCACAAGTGAGTCACCTTTTATTAGAGTGACAGAAGTAGGTCATCTTATCAGATAAAAAATGTCTAGTTTCTTTTTTGGGATTTAGCTTCAAATGGACTATTTGTTTAATCTTTCTCAGCTACTTGAAAGTGTAACTTTTTCTCACAGTCTTATAAAGTGAACCTGTGCTTTACTTTGGAACTTGTTGAAGAAAATTGCTCTTAATCTTTGGTTGGTCTTGCATTGCTGACCCTGACCCTGAGCCTACTGTGACGGACATTGAGACTGGGCATGGTGGTGAGTGCCTGTAATCCTAGCTCTTGGGAGGCTGCAAACAGGAGAATCACTATGAGTCCGATCTATTTGTGAGATCTTGAATACCCTGTAGACGCTTCCCCAACCAAAAAAAAAAAAAATCCCATCTTTGGTCAATTTTTTATAAGCTATGTTTAGATATTTTTCTCCTTTCTTTTAAGAATTAGTCAATTCCAACCTATATGGATTATATTTACTTTTTAAGTTTTTTTGTCCCTCTGGGGATATAACACAGCCATCTGAGTACCCGCCTGGCAAGCACAAGTACATGGTGTCTCTCTCAGTAATAGCATGCCCTCCTGGCCCTGTATCCCTGGGCTCAAGACCCCTTTCTCTGAAAAAAGGCATGGTGGCACATCCCTGTAATCCCACAGCTAAGAAGGCTGCAGGAGGTGGATCACTAAGAGTCTGAACTGTGGAGCGAGAACTTTGAAAAATAAATACATAAAAGATTATTTTCCCTCTTTAATCATTTAATGTTTCTGCTTAACTTCTGTACTTCCATGACTGCATGCACTCTCTTCTCTATTGTGGGAGAATTACACAAAGATTTTACACATATAGATAACTGGGCAACTGGTCTTGTTTTTGTTTGGATTGCTGTCTTCCCATCCATGTGATAAAGGAGAAATAGAAATCCTAAACTTCTAGATATCAGACAAGTGAAGTTCATATTCCCTGAAGTAAAAAGCATGAATACCAAGAGACAAAGGAACTTAAGATTAGGAAAGGTGTGTAAGAGGTCCAGAGAGACAAGAGCTGTGCCAAGGGAATTGCTGCTGAAGCTCCTTTTCAGAGCTATCTTGTACAGAAATGTCGCAATGTGCATACAACACTGGTCAAACTACAATGAACAAGAGGATTTTACACAACACAGCAAATAATTGGATGAAAGTCACGAGTTTCAAAGAGAGAAGAACACTGACACATCATGTTCCTTTCAATAGGGATTAATTTTTAAAATACACGAATTTAAGTCTCTGTAGGTCGACACTCTTCATAATATTTGCAGATTAACAAAGACAGGACCTCAGTAGAACTGATTAATTCTTGTATATTTGTTTTTGTTTTGCAATACCCAGAATTGAACTTGGAACCTTATGCTTGCCAGGCAGGCGCTTATTCCACTCCTGCCCCAAGTGTGAGGAGATTTTGTTTATTTGTGTTGAGAAAGGATTAATTTCAGAAGGGCACAGGGATGGCCTGGGGTTGGAGAATTTGCTTCCACTTCAGGGTCTT